AATTAAGTAATCTTTAATAATAGAAGAGAAACTGCATAAGTTAATTTAAAGGACCCTAAATTAATTCAAATTAATGATTGTACTAAACAAACCAGTGAATTAAAAAGACAGTACTTGGGAACTAAAAATTAATAAAAGTAAATATAAATCAGCATTTTTCTTGAATTTTTTTTCTTTTTCTGCTCATTCGTATAGTCATCTTTTTTGACAAGCCTCATATGAAGATACATATGTAACAAGTACAGATTCATCAGCATTTTCACATTGAATCAGAACTAAGAAAGAAGTGGAAAACATGATAGAATTAGAAGATCAGATGTACAGATTCCCAGTGATCAGAAAGCAGAGAAATTCCTTCCTAGCCTTATGTTCTCAAGTTACTCAACAAATATCTGGTCGGGCATGTTGGCTCACGCCTGTAATCCCAGCACTTTTGGAGGCTGAGGCGGGTGGATCACTTAAGGTTAGGATTCTGAGACCTGCCTGGGCAACATAGTGAAAACCCGTTTCTGCAAAAATACAAAAATTGGCCGGGTGAGATAGTGCAAACCTGTAGTCCCAGTCTCCCACCTGAGGCAGGAAAGAGGATCACTTGAGCCTGGGAGGTCGAGGCTGCAGGGAGCTGTGATTGTGCCACTGCACCCTAGCCTGGGTAACAGAGCAAGACCTTGTCTCTAAAAAATAATAATAAATAATAAATAATTTTAAAAATCTGTTAAGCACCTACCTTGTGTTACGCCTCTCCCATGCTAGGCAACATTGTCACAGCAGTAAAGGAAACATCGTTTGTGCTTACAAAATGCAAGTTAAGGAGTTCTTTCATCACCATGTGATGAGGACTAAGTCCCTCAGTCTATTTTGAGACTTACTACAGTTTACCTACAGTGTTTACTTAATCCTTCCCTTGCACTTCTCTTGGTTAGTAATGCTACCAGGATGCTACAAGAAGAGATATCTGGGTTGAAAGAGGTTGGGTTTTTGAATTTCAACAGCATAAACCATGAAGGAATTGGGGCCTAAAGTTTATGTCATAAATGACAGACTTGGAAGAGTAGGTAAGGAAACTGGATACCCTATCCCCAGTGGTCTGGAGAAAAGCAGAAGAGCTCAATGGGTTCCTGGCAAAAGCTTCTGTGTCCTGCTCCTGACCAAGGCTCAGTGGCACATGACAGAACACCCACGTGTAGTTTTAGGATCTAAGAATACAGATGACTGAGAAGAGGGAAGTAAGTTCAAATATGCTATTCACTTCCTTCCCTTGTTTCCCAGAACTCTAACAGCTAGATTGCCCAAGAGAAAGATCTTAAGATACTATCCCAAAATCCCTGATGAAAGGGGCCTGCCAGATCTCCCTACAGGAAAGCTCACCATGGACATGCCCTACCTACATGCATGCAGCTTACAGTCAGCTACACACATGCCTCCTTTAAATGCAAAGAGACAGCCAAAAATCACCAAACATCTGAGAAGTGTGTGTGTGTGTGTGTGTGTGTGTGTGTGTGTGTGTTGGGAGGGGACTTCGAGGGAGGCAGCAGGGAGTGTGCTATTACAATTGAGGGTGCCAGAAATATAGGATACTAGTTTATTGAATTAACACATTTCTTGTTGGAGATCCAATGACTGCTATGTTCTTCAACAGGGTCAGCAATTACATCCCATGGACCAAATCCAGCTTACCATCTATTTTTGTAAATAAAATGTTATTGGAATACCACCATGCTTATCATTTATATATTGTCTATGGCTGCTTTTACACTACTATTGCAAAGTTGAATAGTTGAAAGAGAGACCGCTTGGCCTACAAAGCCTAAAAGAATCTACTAGTTGGTCCTTTACAGGAAAAATCTGCAGACCTATCCTCTACTCAATAGATTATTTAGGTGGAGTTTCAGTTAATCATTCAATATTTTTAATGTGAGCTACATGAAGCAAGAAACAAAGATGATCAAGGCGTGGATCCCATTCTCAAGCAACTTATTTAGTAAGAGATGACATTTATATTAACAATTATACTAGAGAATACATCATGGAAAGTACTATGTGGAGTACAGAAAATATGATATGGTTGTATGAAGAAAAGCAAATATTTATATAACACAAGTATTCAGAGAAGATTACTAAAGAAGATGATGTTTAAATTGGAACTTAAAGATTAGGTATATCTTTGAAAACTATACCTTCTCTTACACCCTTTGAAGTGCTTCATATTTCCTTGAAACTACAGACTTTTCAACTCAGATATTTAAAAAATAATAATCTTGTTCTTTTTTAATGTTACCTTTTATACAAACTATTTGTGTTATAATTTTAATTTCATTCCCATTTAATTCTTATTATCAAGGACCTTGAAAAATTTGTCTAAGGAAAGTAACAATGAATTCATATAATGTTCTCTTCAATATTTTGATTTAGGTAGGAACCATCTATTCTAAAATATTCTATGGCAGGGAAGTAAGAAATGATTAGGTCAATGTAATTACAGCCAAGCTGTCCCACTAATCACAAAGTACCTTAGCTACCTGTCATGAATCTAATTTCACAAAACACTTCAATCATTATTGCTAGTGTGAAAGAACTTTTTTTATAGAACACCATAGTTCTTTTTTTTCCCCGTTTATTTATTTTATTGCATTTTAGGTTTTGGGGTACATGTGAAGAACATGCAAGATTGTTGCATAGGTACACACGTGGAAGTGTGATTTGCTGCCTTCCTCCCATCACCTACATCTCTCCCCTTGCTATCTCTCCCCAGCTCCCCACCCCCCACC